TCCAAGCAACTCGAAAGTCTTACAAAATCAAAACCGAAACAGTCGTCCGAGCGTAACGCGGAACTGGAACGCTGGGGGAAGCCCCGATAACGGGACCGCCGAACGAATAGTCGAATGATTCCCGTGAAAGCAGATTTTCGATGGTGACTGGCCTCTCGTAGCGCGCGCGCATGCACTGGCAGCCGGTAGTGATGGGATCAAGTTCAATATGCTCTTAGTAAGTACATAAATATATACTAATTATTATCAATTAATCATATATTAATTTTCATCGATTAATTACTATATTAGTTATTAGTAATTAATCATATATTAATTTTTATCAATGTAGTAGTTACTATATTAATTATTAGTAACTAATCATATATTAATTTTCATTGATTAACTACTATATTAATTAGTAGTAATTAATCATATATTAATTTTTATCAATGTAGTAGTTACTATATTAATTATTAGTAATTAATCATATATTAATTTTCAGCAATTAGTTACTATATTAATTACTAATAATTGATCATATATTGATCTGTATCAATGAATTACTATATGATTGATTAATAACTGATCATATATTAATTCTTATCAATTAATTACTATAGGAATAGTTAATAATTACTATATAATTAATTATCTTTAGTATCGAGTATTAATCTATTAAATTCAACATTTCCCAATGAGATATAAACAACATTCGTCAAAACCAGCTAATGAGAAGGCACATAAATTAACAAGCAAAGCCATTGTATTCCACGATTCCTCGTATCGACGGATAGCACAAAGCATAACATTATATAACAGACTCTATAACTCTACCGTATCGAACCAAGCGATGACTGAGAGCCACGTCGCGATTGCAAAGAGTTAATGGTATTCGAACGATCTCTCGTACGTCATGTCGGATATCGGATTTGACTCGATTTCGTGAGCGTATGTAGAACTTGATCCCATCGCTAGCCGTCGCTAACGGCCAGACACGGTGGAATTGGCCGGCATTAAATTTTAACGAACAAAGAACAAGACCGCGGAATTCGTAATGACTGCGAGTGGAAACTTCAACGAAGGATGGGCTTCCCCCGGCCTAATTACGCGTTCCGCCCGTGTTTTCTCGTCACGTGGCTTCGGGGATCCGGCGAAGTTTCGGTATCTTCTTCGAGGACTTGTTCTTTCTAGCGAACGACGCGACGAAACGATGGCTAATTATCCTCGTTTCACCGTGTCGAAATTTAAGTTCGAGGGGTTTGAACCTTTCACCGTGAGCCTCGCTGATGAAACTTTTCAGCGAGCTTTTGGAACAAGTTTTTGGCGAGATTTTAGTGGTGGGTGGACGGCTGTGGGTGTTCGATGATGGTTGGTTTGTAGGAAACTAGTGTGGTTTAGTAGTGTGATTGGTTTATTCGTGGTATTGGTGGATTGGTTTGTTGGTGTTGGTGAATTGAGGTTTACTGGTTTTATTGGTATAGTCTAGTAGTACTAGTGGTTGATTAGTTTGCTAGTACTATTGGTAAATTAGTGTACTAGTACCAGTAGTATATTAGTTTACTAGTTGTATTAGTATATTGAGGTTTACCAGTATTATTGGTATAGTGGTCTACTAGTACTATTGGTAAATTAGTGTACTAGTACCATAAGTATATTAGTTCATTAATGGTGTTGGTGTATTGAGGTTTACTAGTGTTATTGGTAGAATGGTCTACCAGTATTATTGGTAAATTAGTGTACTAGTACCAGTAGTTTATTAATTTACTAGTGTTATCATTATTATTAATATTGTAGTAATTAGTATACGTTCTGATAGATAGTTGTACAATAGTATTTCAGTTGCAGCTGGTTATTCAGCAATGTTTCAAAATTGCACAGTGAACAAGTAATAAACAAATGTTATGATAGCATAGAAATTATAATTATAAACAATGAAGGTTCAAAGTTAATAGAGCAATACCTTATTTCGCACTTTCTGTTCAATATGGCAGCTCAATTATAGTTCAACGTGGTTAACAGTGCCTAATTTAGTTCACACTTAAACGAATTGTGATTCAAGAATGAGAACCTTACATTACATTAATAATTATATAACATTTATAACTGCAAAAATTCGTCAGATACGTAGTAATGAAAGTAATTGTCGAGCCTCCTTTGACATTATGTAAAGTTACAAATAGTTAATATTCGCGTGAACGTTTAACGATAATTTCGAATGTTTCCATCGCGATAACGAAAAGCGAATTTTTTCGGAAATCAGAGTATCAGGTTGTGTTCTCATGTCGTTAGGGGTGAAAAAAGGGACAGGATAAAATCTCGCTATACTGGTTTTCTTCCCCTGCGATATTGTAACGCGTCCGACCGGCCTGAACAGTGTTTTTCGATAGCCGAAGTCCTGAGCATTTTATTTCTGGAAACTAGATATTCCGCGTTGCCTGCGGTTGCACAGGGTGTGCGAGATTACAAGGACAGGCGAACTGAAATATGCAGTTCTTTTCATTCCTCGGATCTCATTTCGAAATCAAGCGTGTCCATTTCCGTTTCTAATCACCAAAGAATTCGACAGAATGAAAATGTCTTTTCCGTATTCCAAGTAATACTTTAATTCGAGGAAATTGGAATAAGATAATAGTTCAACTCAAGAAAATTGAAATATGGTAATGTTTTAATTAAAAAGAACATCGTACAGACTACCTTGATAATGAAGTTACAAATTTCCCTAAATTTTGACATAGTCTAATAGTAATTTTGGCAAATTGAAAACTGCAGTTTTGGAAAACTCAAAAAATTCTCGAGACCAGTTTTTCATTAAGATAAATAGTTCTAAATATTTGAAGATAATTCTTCCAATGTTATCATTAGACAGTAGAATTTATAAAGGGAATATAGTTTTCCAATTACCAAGTATTGATATTCTTTTTAATTCAAATGTTACTTTCTTTACTAACGTACGAACTCTCATAAATTTTCCCATACAATTAATTCTACGATAGCTTCAAATTAATGACTACACATTGTATTCACAACAATCGATCTGTATCGAAAAATGATTTCCAACGAACTGTTTATCGAGCAACAACGACAATCCATTGATCGAACGTTGCTTCATTAAAAAAAAATAGAAAACGCGCAGCGACGGATCCCAGGGGCGCTTAATTATTAATAACAGGGCGTTAAACCGTCCGGTTAATATTCACCGGTATAAACCAATTTCAATTTCGCTCAATAATGCAGCCCGCGGGCCGCCATCAAATTTCTCGCCACTTCGTTTAATGCACTGTATAAATTCACCGTGCGTTCCATAAATTTTGGCGGGAAAATTATTGCCGCGCGCCACGCCGACGGAAATTCGCGTGATCCGATATATATCGGCCGCCGAACATAATAACAAACGCAGTGTCCGGTGACAAGAGTCACGGCGGTCCGCGAAGCGTTAATTATTTTTTTCACATCTTAATTACGTATCGATCGGTTCCCATGATCCGTGGAAATATTCGAGGCCAACGTATCGAACGAGAAGCATCATCTTATTCCAATTTCCTTGAATGAAAATATTACCAGGAATACAAAAAAAAGACAGAAACGGAAATTAACACCGTTGATTTAATAATGAGAATCCACGAAATAAAAATAACTGAATATTTCGATAAATAATTTCTTCAAAAGGAAAAAGTAAGACATGGAATTCCATAACTTTAATTCAGAAAATTGAAAAATAAACGAATTTTCGTGAAAAGCATTAAGAATTGCTTACAAATATACATGGAGCTAATATTTTATCAATTATATAATTATCTGAACTATCTTCGAATCCTAGATTTTTTTAAAATAATACTTTCAAAAATCCAGCCCGGGTCACCAGTGACCCAGGCGTCGGCGGTGGTCAATAACACTAAATTCATTAACAGACACACATTCCCGTACGACTAAATCAATCCTCGTTACGAGCGTCGGCTAATAAAACTTGTTAATCGGTGACGCAATGGGAATTAATTGACCGCAAATGTTGCCGTCATTATCCGCGTCTATTATATGTTGCATTATCAATCATAACGTGTGCGCAACACCTGAAAACACAAGCGTTAGAATCTATCGGAATAATTAGGTATTAATACCCGGCTGAAGAATTTACACGGCCTTTCATCCGATAAATTATGCACTGGCTGGAAGCGAACAAGGACGCGCGAGGGCCGAAGGCCTCTCGCGATCATAAGTGCATAGGCGCCCAAGAAAAATTGGAAAGGTGAATCGACCGGGGGGAAAGTTTACGATTCACGGCTACCCGGTAGCTTGCGAATCGCTTAAAGACACTGGAATAATATTCCAAACCGATTTTCAAATCCTTGTTCAAAAATCTTCAAAAAATTATTTTGAATGTGGTAGTTGGAATTGACAAATCTTGGAATTTTATATTTTGAGTTCTGGTTGTTAAAATAGCAAATTCTGCTATTTCAAGGACACCCGATAGTTTGCCAATCGTTTAAAGACACTGGAATAATATTACAAACCGATTTTCAACGAATCCTTGTTCAAAAAATCTTCAAAAATGGATTTTGAAACTGGTAGTTGGAATTTACAAATCTTAGAATTTTATATTTTGTGTTCTGGTAATTTTGAGGTGCATATGTTCTTGTTGAAAGGGAAATTTTGCTATTTCAAGACTACCCGGCAGCTTGCTCATCACCTAAATGGGCTGAAATAACAGTTCAAACCGATTTTCAACGAATCCTTGCTCCAAAAATTTTCAAAAAATGATTTTGAATGTGGTGGTTGGAATTTACAAATCTTGGAATTTGTAATTTTGTGTTCTTGTTGTTAAAATAGTTCAAAAAATAATTTTGAAATTTTCTTGACCGTTATTCATAGAACACCCTATACGTGCCAGTGGCTCCCATAGGTTTTTTCTAGTCCCGTGTCACTGAATATCTCGCCCTTCTCCTCCACAAGAATCCTGTAGATCCATGAGAAGTTTCGATCGACGGTGTGTATATACGGTAACGCGAGCAGAGCTGAACGTCTGAAATTGGACACCAGTAATTACGATAGCGCCATTTTTATCGGTGTTCCCCGTTCTATACCGTCGCATAATTTCCGCCAGCTTGCATCCACAAATTCGATTCCTGCGAAGGTTATTCGTTCCTCCTCAAATTTCACTTCGCATTTTTCATTTTAATTTGCGAACGTTGAATACAAACTAAATTAATAATATTCATGACACTTTATGAATAAGTCGTTATTTTACAAACATAACTTTTCCCTAGTTCTAGGAACCAGTAAATTAGAAAATTGAAAATCAGGTTTACTAATATGTAATTTATTAGAAAATAGAGTCTACATTTATGTGAAGTTAATCACTCTGGCAAATGAATGGCTCAATTATCTCCATTACCTTCATTAACATTAACGAGGATGTATCAAAACAAAACTGTATTATTTACAGCGAACATTGTAAATATTGATTTGGAAATCTTCCAAATTTTTAAATTTTCATAATAGTACGTATTTTTTTTTAGTACATACTATTGTTTCTGTGGTAGTATTATTGAAAATAATGAGGAATTGTATGAATATTTTTTAAGTAAATCATGTTGGGGATTATTCTTGAAAAAAACGACGTCTTGCATGGGATTAGAAAATCTTTGGAAAATGAGAAAACCGGGTGGAGTTCGCTACATAGCGGGTTGAATTCGAGTTCACTGACACTTTGGAGCACGCGCGATAGATCTCTGGTCTGGGGGGCTGGCTTTCGCTGCTTTCACGCGTGCATGTGCTCCTCGTACAGAACTTTGTGTGTGCGCCCTCGGGCTTTCTATTTAGTTGATCGAAAACGTTGATCGAAATGGGCACCGAGGAAACTAAAAATATATTCGCGATGGAGTCTCTGGGGATACAGAATTCGGAAATGAACAGCTATAATGAATAATGTCAATAATATCAGTAGTATTAATCGTGAATTAAATTGAAATCATTGCACGATTAATATCAACCATATATAATAATGTCAATAACTTTAGTCTTGGATTAAATTGAAATCATTGGACGATTGATATCAACTATCGATAATAATAATATTAATAATATTAGTCTTAGATTAAATTAAAATCATTGGACGATTAATATCAACTATATATAATAATATCAATAACTTCAGTCTTGGATTAAATTAAAATCATTGGACGATTAATATCAACTATATATAATAATATCAATAACATTAGTCTTGGATTAAATTAAAATCATTGGACGATTAATATCAGCTATCTATAATAATAATATCAATAACATTAGTCTTGGATTAAATATAAATCCTTGCACGATTGATCTCAACTATCGATAATAATAATACCAATAACATTAATCATAGATTAAATTGAAATCATTGCACGACTGATATCAACTGTTATTTTTACACAACATATAAAGAGTCCAATTCACATAAGCAGTATCAACCAAATTGATGAATATAATTATCCATAAAATTTTATGAATCCAATAAACGCAAGCATTAATTTATTCTTCAAATGAAACTGTCCATTACTGAATTTACTCAAATATTGTTTGTCGAATTAAATATTATCTCGCTGTTACATATACTTTTATGGTAAACGCGGACCTACGGTGGGAATCCTTCTTTTGTTTTCACCGAGTCACCAAGGATAATGCAGCTGTAAAGGGGATAGTTGCGAAAGCAGTCGTAAACCAACGAAACCCATTATTAATGCCACTAATTTGGAAACAGCCTCATTTAACGGTCACCGCGTTTTACGTTCACGGTTCGACAATGTTTCCGGCGACGTCCCGTGAAATATTCAAGTCAACGCGAAACTGGTCCCCCCCCGGCGTAAAAATTGCGCGAGGAATAATTTTATCGTCGATTGAATAAAGTTTCTCGAAAGGCCACCGTAAAACCGGTTTACACCGAGCGGCACTGTGTGAGGCCATAAACGCACCGTTCCGAAGACACGTTGGTCGCAGCGTTGGAAATCCAATGCGCAAATTACTGAAAACCTCCCCTTCGATCGGATCGCCTGACTCGCGAGAAGGAAATTTGGAGAAAATACTCTCCCACTTGAGAAAAGAAACGTCAGCTTCTAATCACCGTAATCATAGTTAACGCTCGATTGATATATATCCCCTGTTATCGTTGAAGCATCGTCGACAGATAAGAATCGAGTGCGCGAAACGTGCGCGAGTGTTCGCACGTGAGATCATTAACACTAATGACCCGATGATCTCATTAAACAATACCCTCAATTCGCACGCAAACCAAGGGAAAAGTATCCAATCATTACTCCAACAGACTAAAACAATCTTCCCAAATCCAACATAAAATTCATTTATCTTATCAAACGCAAATATTCTTACCGATCGTTCAAACCGTTATCATCGCACCGTCTAACATTCGCAAAAACTACACTGGACACATACGACCCGCAAATCACGATCAACCCTCACAAAACCGAACCCAACCACCCAAACCTCGTCAGACCTCCAAGGAAAACGAAAAACTCCACACAAACGGAGTAAAACTCCCACGGTATGCAGAACAATTAATTCCGAGTTCCCGCGCGTCACAACAACGACTCTCAACCTAACCCGACAAGAACCACTGCGAACGGAGCCCCGAGGAGCCTCTGCTCACGGAATGTTAATCACCGATCCGCGATCGTCGGACACGAGGAATATCTGAACGGATCGTCCATCGGTGAACACTGCCTACACCGCATCACGTTCACAGGATCGTGTTTACTGACGGCAGATTCCCCGTCGAGAATTTCCACTGGCCGCCGATCGATCCCACTCGAAAAGGGAAGCACGGGGAGAGGTCGTGTCGGTTCGAGAGCGCCTACCTCTAGCACAGCTGGCCCTCAGCTCGCCCTCATGTCCTCCGGCGGCGTCGTGGAACGAGATTCGTGGGTTCGGCACAGCCAAACGCGGCGGTTACGCG